CCCGTGCTTCTGAGGCTTTGCTCTGGCAAAGCCTCAGAAGCGCGGGAACCCGCCCGGTGCCCCTGGTCTGCTGGAGACGGTCTCCAGCAGACCAGGGGCACCGGAGCAGCTTACGAACGGGGCTCTCGCGCCCTGGAGCTCGCAGGTAGCAATCCGCCACCTCGACCTCCGGGGCAAGAAAGCCCCGTTCGTAAGTGCGGATCCGACATAAGTCGGATCCGCATAAGTCGGGGACTGCCTGTATCTAAAAGGGTGTCACAAGAAGGAGAGAGAAAAATTGTTCTCCTTGGCCTCTGATAGGACAAGAAGCAATGGGCTTAGACTACAGGGAGGTTTAGTTTGGACATTAAGAAAAACTTCCTAACGGTCAGGGGTGGTTCAACACTGGAAAAAATTGCTTAGGGAGGCTGTGGAATCTCCATCACTGGAGATATTTAAGAGCAGGTTGCACAGACATCTATCAGGGACGATCTAAACTGTGCTTGATGCAAGCGGGCTTCAAGCCATGAGGGCAGGGGACTGGACTTGATCTCTTGAGGTCCTGTCCAGTTCTAGTATTCTATGAGCTGGCAAGCAGCTTAGCTGAGCTTCGGGGCGGAGGGAGAGAGGGGAGGAGCGTGGGGTTGGGGCATAGCTGAGCTTAGCTGGAGGAGAGGGGCCTGAAATGACCTCTCCAGTATAGAAAAGCCCTTCATCTGGGACCAGTCAGGTCCCAAGGGTGTCCGTCCAGGGAGGTCCAGACTGTACCTGCAGTATGGCTTTTCTCCTCTCATATGGCATTGGCCATTGCATTTTTTCCCATCAAAATGAGCTAGGTACAATTCAGCACCAAAATGGGTAATTTACGGTATACCTTTGTCACTTCAAGATTAGACTGCAGTGGACCCATAATCTAAGCTTCTTAAACATGTAATGACCTATCTGATAAATGAAGTATCTCACTACAAAAATCTGAGGTCGGTGATCTGTGAAATTCCAAATAAAGCTACTGGTTTTGGCCAGCAAAGCCTTAAATGCTTAGGACCTATTTATCTGACAAACTTCCTTGCTCCCTATGCCACAGTTGCATAGCTGAAATTAGCAAAGGTTCTCAAATTATTTAACCATGCATCTTCAATGAGAGGGAATACTGGCGGGATGAGTGTGTGAGCGCTTCAGATTTTGTTCCCACCTCTGCCTAAAACAGCCCAAAAATGGACTACTTTCAGATGTGCCCTTTTGCCCCCAGTATTTAAAAATGGGGATGAGTTGTTGGGAGCAGGATGTCGGGTATGGTATTGCTAAAGTTTGTCAATATTTTATTTAAAAAATTGTATTAAGGGCATCTGGAATATAAGACTAGGAACTATCTTTTAGGGTTTGAATAAATCCACAGGATTACCTTTTTTGAATAATCTCTCTCCAAGAATACGATTCCGTCACAAATTCTCTGAAATTATCATTGGTAACAATAATACCTCCAGTTTTATCAGCAAGATGCAGCAAAAATCTACAACAAAATTAGTTTCAAAGACAGTTACATTATTTTTTCATCTTAGCTCTAACCAAAGTCATTCACATCAGCTAGAAAACAAGCACCCAAAGTCATACAAGAGTCTTCCCTAATTAGACGGTATAGTCCTACTAATGTAAATACCCATTTTTAACCTTTTAAAAAGAGGGACTGGTTAACCTCAAACAATTAAAAAAAAAAATCAAAGCCCAACACTCAGCTAATTGGAAGCAACACTGCTTACTCAGGTAGGTTTAAGTTAAGGGTTTGGTGCTAGTAGTTATTGCAGAAATGCTAAATGAGAACTCTGAATTACAGGCTTACAAGTGTATGTAGAGGTAAATAAAGCTGCATGTCTAAAATAAACTAGTAAAGTTGAAACATCATTACACAGTTCAACTGATGTCCATTTCCAGACATTCCTTTTTGGCTAATCCACTGTTTCCCCTTGAGCAACAGGATAATACTTCAGCCCCATTGCATTACTACCATTGTACATGCCTGTTTTACCAGCTGTTTTATCAATGAGTAATACAGCCTTTTCATAATTAAGATTAAAATTAATGCAAGAAATATAGGAACCATTTTGAAAGTACATACATTATTTATTCCTCTGAAAATAAACTGGTCCACTTTGTTATATTAAACACAGCTTATGAAATATTTTGGATGTACATAGTTATAAAATAATAAAATTATTCTCAAGTTGCTTCTCCCCCCTCCCCCACACACACAAGTAAACTCAATGTGATACTCTGATTTCCACGGCAACCAGAATTCTTTCTACTGAAAGTAGACAGTATTTTGTATTATAATAAATGCTGTTAAATTTTAAAGTAGGGATGTAAGCGAGTAGTTGAGCAGTCAACAACCCGATAAGCCTAGCCTAGAATTATTGGGCAGTCGAGTTAATGACTCACATTCTCCCCCGCCCCCTTCAGGCACTATATCAGGGAAACAGGAGCCACTGCTGGGGGGAGCTGACTTAAAAGCTGGTTTCCCCCAGCACTATCTGCGCAGTGCCGCTTCCCCATGCTACTGCACCGGTGGGGACCCCAATCCCCGCTGCAGCTCTGCAATTTAAACATAATAAGAGTCAGGCAGGCAAGCAGCCTGGCTCTTATTACATACATTTAAACTGCAGAGCCACAGCTGGGGGTAGCTCCTGGACCTGGCACAAGCTGGGACTGAACGCCTTTTCTTATTGACTAATTACAAAATCATATCAACTACACAATTAGTAAAATACCCGCTTCTAACATCCCTATTTTAAAGGCATAAGTTGGAGCATGTGAGATAATATAATATAGCCCAAAAGAACTACAGTGAGAACAGATACAGATTACCTACTTTTTGTACCTTTTACAGCCTCTCTCCATCCTCTCTGGAACCTCCCTTCAAGAAGACAAAGGCTACTCTCAAATCCCCCCTCGCTCTTCTCTTCTGCAGAATAAAGAAGCCCAAATCCCTCAGCCTCTCCTCGTAGGTCAAGTGCTCCAGCCCCCTAATCATTTTGGTTGCCCTTCGCTGGACCCTTTCCAATGCATCCACATCCTTTTGGGGGGGGGGGGGGGAGAAATGGGGGCAAAGGGGTTGGTTACTTAAACTAAAACATGCTGGTGCATTTAATTTTATTTTCATGTTTAAAAAGCTTACAAATTGAGCACATAAATGATTCAACTGTATATTCAGCAACATCAGGCATTCTCAATGAGAAAGAACATGCAATCCTCTTAGTTGGGAGAAAACCAAAAAAGGTAGAATTCTTACCAGCTGGGAAGGAGGAAGCAAGGGAAGTAAGGAGATGCAGCAAAAAAGCTAGTTTCCAAATGGCTAGCTGCTTGTCTTCCCAAAATTTTAAAGGGTTAGCCGACTAAACAAACCCAAACCAAAAACTTTTCTAGCATGTCAGCTCTTCTAACTAGTGTCCAGGGCTTGAGAGACTATTAGAAATCTGGCAATGATTAAGAAAGCTAAGTATGGAAAGAAACTCCCAACTTGTAATACAGTAAGAAATCTGGTTAAAGACTTCCCCAGAACTTCATGGCTGGAGGTGGTGTTTAAAATAACCGGTATTTTGTTCATGCATTTTTAAATAAAATCAGCATGCAAGTTTGACATTAACAGCCTTTATGGATTGTTTGCCACCATATGGCACTCTAAGCCTATGATCACCTCAAATGCACCAAGTTGTACAGAGTTAACATCTGAACATATGCAACCTGTGTAACTCAAGCACATGGTAGCAAATCTATTGTCTCTTCCACCTCGTCTTAGAGGCTGGAAGGTAGAAAAGAGATCAGTCAAAAAAGTCTCAGTAGTATTTACATATTATTTCAAATGAGCACAGATCTCGATACATGTGTATCTCTCCACAACTCAAAGGGGTTATAAATAAATCACTTGTTGAGATGTACTTACACAAAACTTGTCAACTTGTCTATTGTCCTTAGAGAGGCTATAATCCATGACAAGTTTTAACGGAAAAGCTACCATATCATGCAATGATGAACGATTATAGTTTACAATTGCTAAGGTTTTGTCTACATATAATGCCATTGAAAATGCTGATCGGTCTGACATTCTGATAGCAGAACGTGTACAAGGAAGTAAAGATCATTTAAATACTTGAACACAAAGACAGAGAACACCTCCAAGACATGAAACTGTCAAGAGGTATGACAATGTCATTGTGTATCTGGTAAAGAGTTTAACTCCTATCCTCCATACCTGTCATCATGAGCAGCAATTCTTGCTCCCAATACCATCCTTGCAGGAGTTAGAGATAATATTCCAACATCCTGGAGCTGTGTTAAGAAATGCTGCTCTGTTAAAAGGGTAAAACAAATAGTTAGTTTTAAAGGCAAAGCTTTCCTCTTTAAAGTGTTTATTTCCAGAATTTACATCTAGTCTCTATAACGTACTAAACAGCGTATCTGCTGCTAACAATATCTACTTTCTACCTAGGTAGCATGCTACAGCTTAGAAATGGACTACTGCTTTTAAGCGTGAAATGGATGGAGCCAATGGCTCTTAAGTTCCTAAATTCTAATGTGCCTCTCAGGCCTGCCACCAGAAGTGGGGGGAGACAAATGGCAATTTCCCAGAGGGCCAGGCTATTTAAATGGGCTAGGGCCCTCAGCACTGCTATTGGTGTGATAGAGGTGGCAGGGAACCCCAGACCCTTTTACATCATCTCGGCTTAAGCAACAGGTGGAGCCTGCATGAGAGACGCTCCCTCCCAGACAGAAGAGTTCTGGGCCAGTCACAACTCCACTCCCGCTCCAGGCTTGGGTTGGACGTGCCTGTTGCATAAGAGAGAGTGCAGGGCACCACACCTAGCTAGGGAAGCCCTGCAGGCTGGCTCCCCTAATTAGGTGCCTCCTGACCTGGACCAGAAGTTGAAGAGGAGGTGATGGGAGAAATAGGGGATAGGTCAAGGCCAGAAGGACGAGGAGTTTGTAGTGTCAAAGTCCAGCTGGACTGCCTGCCAAGGCAGGGAGCAGCGTGTGGAACACAGGAGCTGGATTGCAGTTGCCTGGGACAGAGAAGACTCTCCCAGCCCCAGGCTGGGCTAGTGAAAGAAGTCTCTGTGGGGGCTTGAGGGGCTCAAACAGGCTTCATGGCTGGGTCAAGATTTCTGGTGGGTTGCTGGAATTTCGGGACATTGCGGGGGAGGGGATGTGGCTACAAGGGCGTGATCTTGTAGATGAAATACAGGAAATCAAAGGTTAAAAGAAACCTGATTTCATTTTTAATTGATGTCACAAGGTAAACAACATGAAAACATCATCTTAGTCTTAGATACTGGTCCTTCAAAGAGATCTGCATGCAGAGGGCTCCCATGCATAGGTATTTGCAGAATTGGAGCTTTAGTAAATGAACACTGGAGCAAAAGCATGAGGATAGAACCAGATCTTGACATTTGAATGGTTACATTTCAAGCAAAGTTCACATTGGAGGGTTAATGGCTTAAGAAAAAAAGAAAAGGATTCTATTAACAGCATAACTGTTTTGGATGTTGTAGATATCTGGAAACTGCAATCTTAATGATTTTTAACAAATATCTTGTGTTGCTAATGAATACATGGTAAATAGTTAAAGCTGGAAGAACTTTTACCATGGATGTTGTTTGGCATTTCAATTAGAGGTGGATTCCAGACAAGTGATTTCCAGTAAATTTTACAATTTGTTTGGACAACCTAGGAAACTACAGACCACTCAGCTTAACTTCTGTGCCACAAAAGATAACGGAACAAATAATTAAGGAATCGTCATTTGCAAAAATCTGAAAGATAAGGTGATAAAGTAACAGTCAGCATGGATTTGTAAACAAATTATGTTCAACCAGATAGCTTTCTTTGCTTCAGGGAAAAGCCTCTCTACAAGGATGAGTTTGCTACAACCCAGAATCTGCATGGGGCAGCTGAGGAGGTGGAATTTGCTACTCAGCTTCCTGGGTTTCTCAGTAATCTCCCAGAGTCTAGGAAGTGGAATAGCACATATTGTCTCATCAACTTCCCCAGAACTTGCATAGGCCATAATTAAGGAAAAATGTTACAATGAAATCTGGCCTATTACACCTGCCACCCATGTGCCCAGGTGTTCCACAAGGCTCCTAGCACGTACAGGGTGGTACTGGCAGTGAAGGCAGCAGAGGAGCATGTGAAAGCCCTGGCCATGCTGCAAGAGTGCACTCAGCAGCACAGCTGGCAGCTCACTGGGCACAATCAGGAACCCATTGACTGTTCAGCCCTGGAGCCCAGAACTGCTGTCACTAAAACCTCTTTCCATATATGGCACATCAGACTAAAAAGGTTTCAAAGCAGAGTGCTTAAGTTAGGCATCTAATAGGTAGCTTGATTTTAAGCTCCATTAACTGACTGCTTTAATTTTCCTAAGTGAAGCTACTGCTTCTTTACTTCACAGAATTGTCTTTAGGATGAGCTAACTCAGTCTTATAAATAACTTAAAAATTTCAAATGTCAGAGGGGTAGCCATGTTAGTTTGTAAAGTTACAAACAATGAGCAGTTCTTTGGCACCTTAGACTAATCAATATATTAGCTGATAAGCTTTCATGGGTAAAACCCACTCATCTGATGAAGTGGGTTTTGCCCACGAAAGCTCATGACCAATGTTGCCTCTAATTTTTAACTTCCATGTGCAGATTAAAATGTGTTATGCGCACCAAGGCATGTGAAGATGTGCACCACCAATAGAAACACATTCTGCTGGCAGTGGGCGTCTGTGAGCGCTCTGCTAATCAACTGAGTGGCACCTGAATTTCACCTGGGTGGCCGCCCAAGCGCTCATCTTACAGGGAACACTGCTCATGATCCATTTGTTAGTCTCAGAGGCTATGGCTACACTGCACCCCTCTGTCAGCAAAGGGATGCAAATAAAGCACTTTGAAACAGACGACTTCTAAAAAAGTGCAGACCAGTGATATTTAAATCCCTGCTTCATTTGCACTTTCAGAGATAAAATGTGCTATTCATTATGTATTTTGATGTGCTGAATTCAAATATGACAATTAAAACAACTGATTGGCTACTGTTTCCAAGATATTTAAGTTTTTACATTTTACGTCTATGTATATTGTGTAGACAGTAGAGTTTTAATCATAAATTGTAAACGTAGGTCTTTTCATGTGTTTATCGTGCTTTACATGATAATATTTCACCTGTCCTGTTTATGTAACATTTTAAAAATCTTGTATTCATTAAATGGAGCATCTCTTGTCACTATCCAGCAATAGTCTGCAAGCACTGATGGGCTCCATTTGCCCTGATAGCGTTTCTCCATTGTTGCAAAGTCCTGGTGAAATCGCTCGCCATGCTCGTCGCTCACTGCTCTGCAGTTCGGTGGAAAAAAAAAAAATCTAGATGAGTGCGCAAAAAATGTATCTTTAGTGACATGTTGCAACCAAGGCTTTTGTATGCCTTGAGGAGGTTTTCCACCAACAACCTGTAGTGGTCTGCCTTGTTGTTTCCAAGAAAATTTATTGCCACTAACTGGAAGGCTTTCCATGCCGTCTTTTCCTTGCCACGCAGTGCATGGTCAAATGTATCATCTCGAAGAAGTTCACGAATCTGAGGACCAACAAAAACACCTTTCTTTATCTGAGCTTCACTTAACCATGGAAATTTTCCACGGAGGTACAGGCAGTCCCCGGGTTACATGGATCCGACTTACATCAGATCCCTACTTACAAATGCGGTGAGGCAACCCCGCACTAGCTGCTTCCCCCCAGCAGACCAGGGAGACGTGAAGCTAGCGCCCCTCCCCCAGCAGACCAGGGAGATGCAGAGCGGCTTTTCTCAGCAGACACCTCAGCTTGAGAATAAAGGACTGAGGGAAGTGAGGTGTGGGAGAATAAAACTGAGCTCTGGAGAAATGTTTGGCTAGAGTTTCCCCTACAATATGTACCAGTTCCGACTTACATACA